AGTGAGGAAGCAGGGGTTCAGAGAGGGCAAGCCACCGGCCCAAGGTCACACAGGGAGTAAAAGGCTCAGCCAGAATGAGATCCAGGTCTCCTGCCTCCCAGTTGAGTACTTACAAGTTGGTACCTGGCTGTCACTCTTACAGCCATGTACACACACACACACACACGCACACACACACACGCACACACATCGGCATGTGAAAACACGGGCACATGGAGGAGTGGAGACCCTCACACCAGGCTTACACCAGCGAGACCCCCTCCCACACTCTGGATCCTCCTGCAGAGGTTGCTTTGCCCCTTACATTACCCCATCCAGAGCCTAGCCGGATGTGGAGAAACCATCCTCCTGCCTTCCCAAATTGTGGCTGACGGTTGCTCAGGCAACCGCCTGCCAGACTGGGGAGATTAGCTGAGGAATGTAGCTGGGCCAGTTTCAGTTGAGGCTGGGGGAACTCGTGGGGGTCCTGCTTTGATTCAACTCACCCTCTCAGGGAGGTCCTGGCAGACAGAGACAGGGTGGGGCTTGGTTTGCTCCCTGTCCCTAGTCCAGTTGAGACTGTGTCCCCAAGGCTTGGACTAGGCTGAGAGAAGGTGTGTGTGTGTGTGTGTGTGTGTGTGTGTGTGTGTGTGTGTGTGTGTGTGTGTGTGTTGTGCATCTCTCTGGGTAAAGATTGGAGTGTGTGCTGCTTGCACCCAGGATGGGGGCTTGAGGTTTGCTTACCAGTTCCTGAGATCTGACTCTCAACCCCTTGGTGGCTTGTCCCACTCCTGATCCTATAGTGCCCTCTGGAGAAGCCATCTGCCCTTCTCATGGTTTATAGGATATATCACTTGTCTCATCTGAATCCAGGCACTCCTCTGCTCAGACACCTAACTGCGGCTTTCCAACTCGAAAGGAGGCCAAACTCCTCACCCTGGCATTTAAGGCCTCCCTGATGTAGCCTTAACCTCCCTCCCTCCAGTCTTCTCCCATTACTGCAGCCAATCTGGGATCTTCTCTGTACCCTGGATGAACTGTGTGTTTACTCACTGCCTTTCTTTTTCTTTTTCTTTCTTTTTTTAAAAGATTTTATTGGGGAATTGGGGAAGGGGAACAATGTTGGGGAATTGGGGAAGGGGAACAGCGCTGTTGTCCAAGTTGTTGTCCTTCAGTCTTAGTTGTGGAGAGGACAGCTAGCTCAGCTCCAAGTCCAGTTGCCATCCGGCTGCCGCCCGTAGGCAGATCGCGTGCCTTGTTCAATCTTAGTTGCGGGTGGGCGTAGCCCACCATCCCATGTAGAAGTCAAACTGGAAACCTTGTTGCTAAGAGCACAAGCTCTAACAACTGAGCCATCTGGCCGACCCGTAGGCAGCTCAGGTCAGCTCAGCTCAAGGTGTTCAATCTTAGTTGCGGGTGGGCATAGCCCACCATCCCATGCCAGAGTCGAACTGGCAACCTTGTTGTTAGGAGCATGTGCTCTCACCAGCTGAACTATCCTCCCACTTGTTGGCAGCTCAGTAGCAGCTCAGCTCAGGCGCAGCTCACTGGCCCATGTGGGAATCGAACCGGTGACCCTGTTGATCAGAGCTCGTGCTCTTAGCCAACTGAGCCAGTTGGCTGGCCCCCTTGAGGTTCCTTTTCTTACCAGTTCCTGACACCTGACTCTCAACCCCTTGGTGGCTTGTCCCACTCCTGATCCTATAGTGCACTCTGGAGAAGCCATCTGCCCTTCTCCTGGTTATAGGATATTTATCACTTGTCGCATCTGAATCTAGGCACTCCCCTGCTCAGACACCTAACTGCGGCTTCCCAACTCGAAAGGAGGCCAAACTCCTCACCCTGACATTTAAGGCCTCCCTGATGTAGCCTTAACCTCCCTCCCGCCACTCTTAGCTCCCGTTACTTTGTTACTTTCGCCAATCTGGGCTCTCCTCTGTGCCCTGGATGAACTGTGTGTTTACTCACTGCCTTTCTTCCCGCTGCTGGCCCTTTGCCTCAAATGCCCTTCCACCCATCTCTATTGGTGGTTACCATTCTTGCTCTGAGCCCAAAGTCTGATATAGTTTTTTACTCTGGGCTGGTGGCTTCTAGCAGGAGTTGGGTCTCTGGCAGGAGTTGGGACTTGGCTTTGGGGCTCCTGAGCCATCCGGACTGGAGGTGATGGGGTATTTCCCAGAACCCGGGAGCGCTGATTGTTCTCATCCCTGGGTGAGCTGGGGAGGAGGTTGGCGTGGGGCTGTCTTTGGGGAGCCTGACCTCAGAAATGTTACCCCTAAGGGCTGTGGCTAGAATAAGCCTGACCCAGAGACACAGAGCTGGGGATGGACATGGACCAGGGGGAGGGAGTCATTTTGCCTAAAGGGGCACTCTGGATGGAGTCAGCCAGCTGGGGAGGTCAACCTGGCTGGGGTCAGTTGTAGGAGTTATTTGGCAGAGGTCAGGGGTCACTTTGGCCATGGTTAGCTGGTCTAGGGTTAGTCAGTCAATCTGGTGGTCGTTCTGGCTGAAGTCAGATGGTCTGACATAATCTGGATGACAGTGGGGCTACTATGGCCAGGGACAATCAGCTGGGGGCCACTCTGGCTCAGGACTATCTGTCTGGGGGTCACTTACCTGGGTCAGTCAGTCTGGGGGCTACTCTGGCTAAGGTCAGATGGTCTGGGGATCCCTTTGACCAGGTCAGTCAGTCTGGGAGGCCTGGCAGCTCATGTGGCCTGGCTCAGGATGAACTGAAGGAAGCCAAGGAGCTGGCACTTCCAGGCTCACCCCAGGGCCATGGGTGAGATGGCAGCTGTCTTGTTATTTGTGAAGGAAACAGGAAGGGCTTGAGCCCCAACCAGGGCTCTAAATCCTTGGCTTTCCTTTCTGGCAATCCCTTTGTCTCAGGGAGGCCTTGGCTAAGACCCTCAGGAACAGACAGCTCAGGCTGAATGAAGTCAGCTGTCGCCTCCTCCAGGAAGCCCTCCCTGACCACCCCTACTGGCCATGTCCTCTCTCTGTGGATCATTTTCTAGTGGGAGAGCTGAGGCATTCTTAGCACAGATGGGGTTAAAACCCACCTTCCACAGGCCACAGCCACTATGCTGACCAGGGTTTTTCACACCAAGAGGCAAAGAGCTCAGTCCAGGTCCTGCCCCAGCTCTGGAGAGAGGCTTTTGTTATGTCCTCCTATCCACTCGGTGCCAGCCTCATCCCCACTTGTCATCATTTTATACTCTGGTAGGGCCCAAGGAGAATAAAGGGAGTCCCCCCCCAACGAGGGTGAGCCCCTTTGTGCCTGGCTCTGCTGGGTGTGTTTCCGTATCCTGCTTCACGCGATCTGCCTAACATGAAATAAGAGCCTCCAAAAGTGAAGTCACTGGCTGTATGTGCAAACGCCCAGCACCGTGCCTGGCACAGGGTACCCGCTCCCTAATTACTGTCCATTTCTCTTTCCTCCTCTTCTTGAGCCTGGGAAGCAGCTCATGTTTGCTCCTTTTCCTAGGGAAGCCTTTTCTGGTGGGAAATGTGGCCTTTGGCATCTGACAGACATGGGTTCGAATCCTGTTTCTGTTGCTCGTGTAGACTCAAGAGGCACATGCGAAGAGCTGCTATTTCCTGGGTGTTTGCACATGCTAGGATAGGCATTGTGCTCAGTGGACCCCCACATCGAGTCCTCCACAACCCTATGTGTGCATGAGGAAACTGAGGCTCAGGAAGGAGAAGCAACTTGCCACAATCAGAGGGGTCCGTAAATTGCAGAGTCAAGATTCAATCCCAAGTCTGTCTGGTGCCAAAGCCCACTCACCTATCTATCGTGTTACACTGGATGAACCCTCCACCCCTTGGAGCCTCAGTCACCTCATCTGTTAAATGGGGAGAAGTACCAGTGACTGGCAGGCACCCAGGACAGGGCCTGGCATGATGTGTGCCTGCTTCCTCACCACTTAGGCAGTTTCCCGGTCTCAGATGCTTAGGATGACCCCCAACGGGGCTGCAAACACTGAGGTTCAGGAGTGAGTGCAGGGACCAGTGCTCGGCTACTTTCTGAACCAGTGGTGTTTATTAGGTGCCTGACGCAGGGCTCTGATGAGCTAGCTAAGATTTATGGATCTCATTACCAACCAAAGGCCTCACATCTATTTCAATCTCTTTTTCCTTCCTCCTCTTCTCATTTAAACTGTAAAGGTTGGTTCCAAATTATGAGACTTTGCTTCCTCTAGTCATATATGTCCTGACCCACACATGACTGTGCTTTTGCATGTCACATTCCTGCAGACAGAGAACTAAGTTGGGTAACTTTGGACAATCACCGCATCTCTTAAGCTCATCTGTCAAGTCGGAATAATAGTGGCACCTGCCTCAGAAGGTGAGGCTTAAATGAGACTCTGCACCTAGAGCATTTAGCACTGTGCAGGGCTTGTTGTAAGCCTGAGATGATCGTGGCCATTGTTATTTTTAAGGAGATCCCATCAGGGCTGGCTCAGGGCATTCATGACCCTGCCAGTCCCAGGGCCCCATGTCTGTCCTCTGTGCAGGAGATGGAGGGGCAGGTGACAGAACGCTGACTAGCAGTCAGGAGCTCTTGGTTCAAACCCCACATCTGCCCCTAATTAGCTGTGTGACCTTAAGGGAGTCACTCAGACTCTTTGGGCCTCAGTTTCCTCATCTGTAAAATGGGGATAAGTCTAGTCCTGATCTCACAAGCTGGTGTGAGGCTGTAATCATGATAGTAGTCATGATAACTAGTTTTTGTTGAGGAGGGTCTCTGATGGGTCGTTAAGTAGGGGGGTGTCCTGGGGAGTACTAGGGGAGCGGGCAGTATGAGGAGGTCTGGGTTTGGGAGGAACGATGAAAAGAGGGCCTTGGTAGAGGGAGAGGGTGGAGGAGGGAGAGTTTTGTTGGAGGGAGCAGTGGGGGATGGGTGGGTAGGCCTGGGTAGGAGGAGACAGTGTAGGGGCACCTGGAGGGAAGGCCCGGGAGCCCTCCTGGCTGGCAGCCCTGCCTTAGCCTGCATTAACCAGGCTCTGTTCTCACAGCCGGCTGTACCTTCGAGGAGGTGAGTGACCCAGCAGTGCCATGCGAGTACAGCCAGGCCCAGTATGATGACTTCCAGTGGGAGCAAGTGCGGATCCACCCTGGTACCCGGGCTCCTGCAGACCTGCCCCACGGTAAGCTTATTCTTAATCACCATTCCCCCTTTGTCTCCTTCTAGGGGCATTCTATCCACTTGCTGTGTGACCTTGGGTATATTACTTAACCTCTCTGGGCCGCATCTGCTTTGGCATCTGTAATGACATATATGACATTGTGAACATGGCACTCTCTGGACACTGTCAGTTGTGTATATCAGGTAGTTTTACCTGTAAAATGGGTGCAGGTTCAAGTAACCAAAGACCCTTACAAGCTATAAGTTAAAACCCACCTCCCATTACTCCTTATGCAGCTTAGCTCAGGATGCACCCTTACTCCCACCAGGTCTTCCTAAATCCTCCACCTGTTGGGAGGTTCTCTTCTTCCTGAGAGCTTCTGAAGCCTGGTTTCCCAGGACTTGAAGATGCTGACAGAGCAGTAATGTTGGAGGCTGCATGTGTGTAAAACCTTCCTTCCTCTGTCCCCTTTTTCCTATAAGTCCCAGATCCTTCCCAGCTTCCACGTTGCTCTGACTCTATTTCAGGAAAAGTCACTTTTGGCATTGTGAGCACCGGACTGGGAGTCAGGAGACTAATTATGTGGATTCTAGTACTGGCCTTCTACTCTGATGGTGGCCCCTCGAGCACTGATTCCAGGCTTCAAGTCCTGGCGTTATCACTTTACCAGCTGTGTGACCTTGGGCAAGTCACTTAACGTCTCTGAGTTTTCGTTTTCTTAACTGTAAAATGGGGAGAACTATAATCTATTTCAAAGATTATTAGATAATACCTATAAAGTGCATAACAGGGAGGTGGCATGTAGGGGTTCAATTAAGGTTTAGTTGCTGTTGTTGGAGGTGTTTGATGGGGCCCAATTATTAGCACCCCTTTTCACTGGGTACAGAATCAACTGGAAGTTAAGAAGAGGATAAGACAAATTATCAACATTATTACCGATGAAGTCTGGGTCGGAGGACACAGCATAGCGTGAGAACCAGATGGGCTTGCTGAGGGCACCCAAGCATTGGACAGCCTGCAGACCCCTCTCCTTTGCCCTATCACAGTAGTGGGCCAGGCTCTAACTGTTCAGCTCACTGCATGGCCAAGATGGCGCCTGCTGTCAAAGGTGCGGGGGAGGGGCAGCAAAGATTCTCAGTGGTGGAGCCAGGAACTGAAGCGAACAGGAGAAAGGCACTCCAAGACATGGCACAGGCAGCCTCCTCACCCTCATCTACCACTGGCCTTGCCTCCTGGAGCCCTCTCTGCCTCTCTCTTCTGGGCCACTGTGCCCTCCCTGGGGCATTCATCTGTTGCTTTCAGCTCCTTGTTTGAACTCTGGACTATCAGGTGTCAAAGTCTGACCTGTGTGACAGTGATCTGTCAAGGTGCCCCACATAGTAGGGACACTATGTGGGCCGTCTCCATATCCCCAGGGCCCAGTCTGGTACATGGTTGGCAGTCAGGTACAAGGTGATTTGAATTCACCTCTAACAGTCCTGACCCCCTGTGTGGGCTCTGCCTCTCTCTCTCACACACAAGCAGAGGCACATCCAGTGAGAGAGGGGAGAGACATTCAGCATCTAACATGGGCCTCGTGCTGCCTCGTGGGCATGCCGTGGTCAGCAAGACAGACGCAGTCTCTGCTCTCTTGGCGCTCACATTCTAGGGAAGGGTGTTGGGGGTGGAGACAGAAGGAAGGAGGGAGAGTCACTCAGAGACAGAGAGCAGGAGGGAGGAGAAGGAAGAGCCATGGGGGTGAAGGGAGTAAATGAAAGAGAAGGGAAAGGATGCAGAGTGAGAAAAACCTAGGGAAAGAGAGAGAGGAGAGAGGCAGAAGGAGGAAGAGGCAAGAACAAAGTGTCAGATTGAAAGGGGGAGAAAGACACACAGCTGCTCACGGAGGTGTGTGTGTGTGGGGAGGATGGAAAAGTGGGTTAAGAGCGGCTCCTGGGGGGGCTGGGATCTGCCTCTTCCTGGGTGGGGATGAGGACCTGGGTAGTTTTGTTTACTACCCCACCAGGACTGAGCCAGGAGCTTCCTTCATAGGCTTCTGGCTTGCAGAGATGAATGAGAGCCCCTCCGGCGGAGTCCCTGGGGAGTCCTCCCAGCGCAGGGAGCTGCATGAGCTTGTGTTGGCTGGCAGCCTCGCCCAGGAGGAAGTAGAGCTGGGTGGCTGCGAATACCCCCTTCGCAGCTCCTGGGGTCTTCTCTCCACAGAAGGGAAGCCATAACCCCCCCAGCCAGGTCCTGAGGAGTCCAGTCCACTCCTGCACCCCACCCTCAGGCTAGCACATAGCCTGGATCTCTGGGGAAGGGGCCAGTTTGCCTTCCTTCAGGTTGGACATCAAGAGAATGGTATCCCAGGAATTTAGACACCAGGATGGGGGCTGGAAGGGAAGTTAGAGTCCTTTCATTCAATCTGTTCTACACATTCATTCAGCTTGGGATCAGAGCCTGTGCTGAGGACACAGCGGAGCCCTGAGGCATCACAGGCTGGTAGGAGACATACACACTTTTTTAATGATCAAAGGGCCAGGAGAGAAGCCCATAGAAGGACTGGGGGCGGGGAGGGGGAGAGAGGCTTCAGAAGACATGGCCTCTGAAGGTTGTCCTGCCAGACACTTCACTCCTGAGATGAATGACCTAGTCCCTGCCTCCAAGGACAGCTCAGAACATGGCGAAAGCCTTGGATCAGCATAAGCTTGGATTATGATTGTAGGTGGTAAGGAGCCATATAAAAGGTTTTGACAAAGTCAGGTTTGCGGGGTGTTATTGCTGCTCTAACTGTCTCCTTTGGGAAACAGACGCAGGGAAGTGAAGGCTCTTACCCAGTAAATCAGAGCTGGGACCAGAACTCAGAACCCCTGACTCACAGTGGGTCCAAATGCCTGCAGTCCTTTGTTTCCATCCCCCTCCTCTGTGCCCACCTGACCCTGGTCCTCCCCCAAGGTCTCCTTAGCCCCTGACTCTCCCTCTTCTCTTTCCAGGCTCCTACTTGATGGTCAATGCTTCCCAGCATGCCCCAGGCCAGCGAGCCCATGTCATCTTCCAGAGCCTGAGCGAGAATGATACCCACTGCGTGCAGTTTAGCTACTTCCTGTACAGCAGGGATGGGCACAGCCCGGGCACCTTGGGTATCTACGTGCGTGTCAATGGGGGTCCCCTGGGCAGCGCTGTCTGGAATATGACTGGATCCCATGGCCGTCAGTGGCACCAGGCTGAGCTGGCTGTCAGCACCTTCTGGCCCAATGAATATCAGGTGAGCTGGGCTCAGTCTGTGGTCAGCCTATACCTGGGGGCAGCCGGTAGTGGGGTGTCAGCTTGAGGTCAGAGTAAGCAAGGGCTGAGGTTGGAATTAGTTTGTGTTCAGCATCAGGAGTGAATATGTGGTCAAGGTCAGGGGTTAGTCTGTGGTGAGCATTGGGTTATTTAGTGATGGTTCAGTCTGGATTCAGCATCAGAGGTCATTCTTAATAGGAATAGTCTATGGCAGGGGTCAAGGGTGAGTTGGAACTGTGCTGACCTGGAAACCCAGTCTGGCTGGGAAGAGTTTTGCTGCTTCAAGGAAACTGTCCAGGATTGGGACAGAACCTCTGGCCTTGACCTTGTCAGTCCTGGGTACCAACACCCCACCCTTCCCCACTAGCTGGCTTGGTTGGGAGGGTCTTTGTGAGTTGGACTGACCTCTGCTGGTTGAGGATGCGGCTGGAGCAGAGCTAAAAAGGGGCTCTTGTGGCTCCTTGCCAGGCAGGGCTGGAGGGAAGTCAGCATGACAGGCACCTTCCCGCCTCCCCCAGGTGCTGTTTGAGGCCCTCATCTCTCCAGACCGCAGCGGCTACATGGGCCTCGATGACATCCTGCTTCTCAGCTACCCCTGCGGTGAGTCCCAGCCCACTGGGGCTCCAGGTGAGGGGTGCGGGCGGACAGGGCTTCTGCCTCTAGGGGACGTAGGCCCAGCTCACGCCAGGGCTCTGTTTCCGCAGCAAAGGCCCCTCACTTCTCCCGCCTGGGCGACGTGGAGGTCAACGCGGGCCAGAACGCCTCGTTCCAGTGTATGGCGACTGGCAGAGCTACGGAGGCAGAGCGCTTCCTCCTGCAGGTGAGCGGGGTGGGTGGGGACCTTGGCCAAAGTGTGTGTGGAGGACTTCTTCTGGGCCCGGGCCCCCATGGCGGGAGCCGAGTCCTTCCTTCATCCTCCAGCACCATCACATGCCTAGGCTCCGCTCTGCCCTCTTGGGTGCCTCCATTGCCCCAGGACGGAGCGCGGCTCCAGGATCCCCCAACTACACTCTCCATCAAAGGCAGAGCGACTTCCTTCCTGTGGCGGACCGGCCCCAGACACCCCATGTGTCCCCAGCGTAGTAGGGATGGCTAAATGGGGCCAGGACAGTTACTCGCCCGGTTCAGAGCAAGTTTGGGACTCCCTCTCCCCGGTGGCCCTGACCCTGTCGCCTCTCTCTTCGAGCAGCGGCAGAGCGGGGCGCTGGTGCCTGCGGCGGGAGTGCGGCACATCAGCCACCGTCGCTTCCTGGCCACCTTCCCGCTGGCCGCCGTGGGCCGCGCGGAGCAGGACCTGTACCGCTGCGTGTCCCAGGCCCCGCGCGGCGCAGGCGTCTCCAACTTCGCAGAGCTCATCGTCAAGGGTCAGCGCATGCACGCTCTCGGAGGGGGGGCCAGCATGCACCCTCCGAGGAGCAGGGACTCACAGGGGTGGGGTCTGTTCGAGGGGGCGGGGTGTGACTGAGAGGCGGGCTTGCGGAGGGACAGGGTCAAGGTGTGAGCCTGATCAAGCCGGGCCTGGCTGTAGGGACTCGGGGTTGGTCATGCGGTCAGCCTCTGGAAGCGAAGACTTGGGATTTGGAGGGAAATGAGGGAGAGGGTGTGGGCTGAGGGGTGATGGCAGGGTCAGCCTTTGGAGCGAGCCTCCCCTTAGGGCCTGGGGATTTTGTGGGGAATGGGAGAGGCGGTGGTCCAAGGCTTGGGAGTTGCATGAAGGGTCTGAGAGGACAGGGCGGGCTCCTGGGATTTGGATGTGGAGGGATGCGGAGCTGGGGGCCGGGATCTCACAACTGCACCGGTCGCCTTCTCCTCTCCTCTATGTCCTCGCAGAACCCCCCACTCCCATTGCACCCCCGCAGCTGCTGCGCGCGGGTCCCACCTACCTCATCATCCAGCTCAATACCAACTCCATCATTGGCGATGGCCCGATCGTGCGCAAGGAGATAGAGTATCGCATGTCGCGTGGCCCGTGGGCGGAGGTGCATGCCGTCAGCCTACAGACCTACAAACTGTGGCACCTGGACCCCGACACCGAGTACGAGATCAGCGTGCTGCTCACGCGCCCGGGGGACGGCGGCACTGGCCGCCCTGGGCCGCCCCTGGTCAGCCGCACCAAGTGCGCAGGTGGGTGCCTTTTGTAACCGGGTATGGGCTCAGGGTAACCGAGGGGCGAAGGGGCACACTCCGAGAGGTAGTATGTCCTACATCTGTGCTTCTAAAACTTTCTAAAACTTCTGTGATTTTTCCTCATCTTTGTTATGGTAAAGATAATAATGATAGCTAACACTTTAGTGCCAGACACACATATATGTATGTGCGCACACACACGCATACTTACTGATGTAAAACTCACAACCCCACCATGATCAAGGTACTCTTGTCATTTTCATTTTACAGATGAAGTGAGAGATGTTAAGTAACTGGTCCAAAGTCACACAGCTAATGGCAGAGATGGTACTGGAACTCTTGACTGGCTGGCTCCAGGATCTGTGTTCTTAATTTCATGTTACATCATGTAGATACACGTTAAATTAAAGTGTGTTATTAAATTCCACCTGGATTCTCTTGTCTGGGCATTTGAGCCTGAGGTCTGCTCTTCTGTGTTAAAAAGGGTAAAGCAGCTGTTAGGAGTGATGGCAGCCCTGCACGGGAAGAGCCTCTTTTTTTGTTTGTTTGTTTAATCCGAAGAGAGATTGAGAACAGAACAATTTTCTCACTCTGTGATTTCAGCGGTCTTTTATTGGAATTTTTATTGCAATGATTGTAGATTCTTATGCAGTTGTAAGAAAAAAAATACGGAGAATTCCCTATACATACGTTAGTTACCCTGTTTCCTGCAAGGATAACATTTTGCAAAACTGCAGCATCATACATCACAATGAAGAGATTGACATTGATACAATGTACAGATCTTATTCAGAC